GTATAATGTATGCTATACGAAGTTATTACGTCCTGACGGCGACTTCAGGCTCATAAGCCACTTCAGCGGTTGATGATCTGTGCCTATAGTGATTTGAGCACCGTCGATATACCCTCTGAATTTAGAAACAGCCCAAACTATAGCGAGAGCTTCGCGCTCAATCGTACTGTAGTTACATTCTGCTGAAGTCAGTAGGCGACTGGCGTATTCTACGGGCCTTTCGTCAGATCCTTCACCTTGAGCTAAGATAGCTCCTATTGCGTAATTGCTGGCGTCCGTTCGTATAATAAACGGTAGTTGTTCATCCACTTGTCTGAGTATGGGAGCGCTGGTAAGTGCCTCTTTTAATTTGTTGAAAGCATCTTTTGATCTTCTGACCATGTCCATTTGACGTTCTTTTTGGTGAGCGATGTTAATGGTTTAGCGATTGCTGCGAAATTCGGAATAAATTTGCGAAACCATGAGGCAGTTTGTAAAAACGTAAGTAAATGCTTTACATTTCTAGGCGGTGGGATATTTAGAATGGCTGCCACTTTATCGTCATCCGGACGAATTCTTTCGGTCGTGATCATATGTCCTAAAAACTTGATTTGTGAGCATGCAAAATTACATTTTTCTCGTTTGGCTCGTAGTTTAAATTCACGAAGACGGCTAAATACTTTTTGTAGATCCGCTAAGTGTTCCTCAAAACTGGCCGAGATTACTATTATATCGTCTAAGTATACTATTACCGTAGTATCCTTTAAGCCTCTTTGGAACTGGTCCATTAGCCTTTGAAACGTGGCGCCGGAATTCTTCAGGCCAAAAGGCATGCGCTTAAAACGGAAGGTACCAAACGGCGTCGTAAATGCAGTTTTATCTCGATCAGTCGGTCTCACGCTCACTTGCCAATATCCTGAGCGCAGGTCGATAGTGGACATATAGAGAGATCTTTTGGCAAGATGCAGTAGTTCATCAATCCTGGGCATCGGATATGAATCAGTCTTTGTGATGGCGTTCAAGCGACGATAATCAATGCAAACTCTCATCGTACCGTCCTTTTTCGGCACTAATACTACTGGGGCCGCCCATGGAGATTCGCATTCTTCGATAATATCTGCTTCTAGCATAGCATTAAGCTCCTTTTCCAATATTTCTTTCTTATGTCGGGGCATTTTATACGGTGGTACGGCTGCTGGTGCGTTATCGCCTGTTTCAATGGCGTGTTCAGCGTACGTTGTCTGCTCTCCCCCTAGTGCGAAGATGTCTTCGTTAGTAGACAAAAACTCATTGAGTTTATCACGCTGATTTGAGGACAGAACTTGGGCTTTGTTGTTTCTTAGTGTCTCGACGTAATTCAGTTGTACAGTGTCACATGTTCCTTCCGAAGCTTCAAAGTTCAGCTCACGCGGTTCGTTTTCATCTGCAAAATACCAGATACGCTGTGGAGCATTTATTACAATTTTCGCTTTTTCGATAAAGTCCATGCCGAGTAGTGTGTAATTATTTTCTGCGTGCGGTATTATAAGGAATGTGATACTTATCGTGCGATCCATTAGATGAACGTCAACTTCTGTTAATAAAACGTGTTCCCTGCTACGCGTACCGTCTGCCAGTCCGATATATGCGTCTGTTTCTTTGAATTTTTGACCTTTGTCGATTAGAATTTTATATAGACTGTAACCAGCGACACTCATTTTTGCGGCTGTATCGATCAGACCAGTGCCTTTCGCCCCTAATATTTCAATGTTGAGAATCGGTCGTTTCTTGCATTTTGCATGTATCGGAGATGTGTCTACGAGGCAGAAATCAGGCTTCGCTATGCCTTTGCCGCTTTTATCCGTCTTATTGCACTTAGGGCACTCTTTACGGAGATACCCGGGATTCCCGCAACCGAAACAAGTAACTGTAGGCCGAGAACGGTGGCTATTCGCTTGCGCATCGTCTGTATCCAAATCCGTTTTGTTTTTTTTGCTTGTCGTGGTCGGACTGTTTTCTTGTTTCTTTTTAAGATTCATGCATTCGTCTACCGTATGTCCGAAACTTTTGCAGTATTTACATCGTAGACGGGATTCATGTTTACGGGACGATATCGTTTGTTTAGATGTGTCGTTATTTTCTTCGGCTCGAGTCTCTTCGACTTCCCTCGCGAGATCTAATAATTCCGAAAATGACGTAATTTTTTCACGTGATATCTCCTTTCGAATCTTGTATGACAATAATCCGTAGACCATATCTAATTGGATGCTTTCCGTTAACGGCGTGTTGTACGGAAGTTTAGCAAGGAGGGCGCGTGCTTTACATATAAATACGTCCGTCGATGTATTTTCTTCTTGTTCCCGCGCGAAGAGTTCTTTGTAGATACGGTATGCCGGTTTCTTAGGTCCGTATGTTAGTTTTAGCAGATCTATTGCGGCATTCCACGTATTGACTGTAGATTTGACACCCTGCCACCACGTCGCGGCGAGATCCATGAGTAGGATCGATAGTCCCTTTAGGGCGTTTTCGTCGGATATATTTGTGCATTCTTTGTATGTAACGATCGCATCGATAAAAGCTTCTACATCGGACGTCTTTTTTCCATCGAATCGAGAAGTGCATCGCGAAAAATTACCTTGCGGTAGCGCGGCATTTGCGGTGGGGACGTTCGTAGCAGATATCTGTATCTGTTGTAGAAGAGCGATGAATTGTTCGTTTGTTAACGTAATTGCGTTACCTGTGTTCTGACTTTCCGCCATTGTAGCTTCTTGTCTTTTCTCCTTTGCTTTTTTGTCTGAGCTTACCCTACGTGGTATCGACGATTGCGCTCGTGTTTGCGACCGCGTTGTCGGTCGAGTTGGCTTGCGTGGGGATGACGTCTTGGTTAGACGTGACGACTTCGGTCGTAACCTGGCCTTTTAGTTGGGCGCCAATTGTAACGATTAATGGGTGACCGTTGGGATATGTGAGTACTTGACAGGTTGTACGACGCTCAAAGAAGAATTTAAATAAGGAAAAAAACTGAGATATATTTCCAATACAGTTTAGGTTATACAGCCTTCTTTATGACTCGCTCTACAACGACTGGCGCCACCGTGACTTCTTGCTAGCGCCCCCTCAGGGCCGCAGTTTTAGAACGCGTGCAAGGACCTCTCGTGTTACAATCAGATAATTAAATTTAAATAATTTATGTTATAAAATTTGTTATAAAATTTAGATGTTATAATATTTATATGGACATTCCAATCTACATCTCAAGTAATACAAAAAAGGACGATTTTTATTTTTCGGACATTTATCTGTCCGATTTCTGAACAATCAGTTCAATATCTGAATTCCCTGTGTTGGGGTTGTATCAGAAAAATTAAACTGCTAAAAATACTTACTATGCCTTTAATCTTACTAGCTACTATTTGTAAGTTTTTTATAATCATCATGACTAAAACTTAAATGCGAGATAGATTACGCAACGCGCGTCGCATAGCGCATAGTTAAACGAACGAACTAGCGATTACCGAATATTGCTTTTGTAATGTTTTTGGAATGTTGCTATCATATTCTCATGAAATATTACAATTACATGTCCCAATAATGTCTCAACAATATTACATTGCAAGATTGTCACATTGCTGCAATGTAATTGCAATCTTCTGTGCTGTATGGGTGAAAAGCGAGAAATCTTGAAAATACAACTTTCAGAGACATCACTGAAATCCCGAATTTCAGCGAAATTCAGATATTTTCTGACACTTGGAAATGATTTTCACACAAATCGTTTTATGTCTCTGACAAGCGAGAAACCTTGGAAATAATAATTTTCAGAGACATCACCAAAATTCCAAGTTGCAACGAAATTCAGGAACTCTCTCACACTTGGAAATAATTTTCACACAAATCGCTGATAATCCCTCAATTACCGTGAAAAAGTCTCTGAATCTTACTGAAAATCCCTGAAAACTGTTTTCAGACATTTTCAGACAAATTTTCAGAGAAATTTTTTCACCAAGGGTTGAGTGATTGTAAACATTACGTTAATGTAAAATAAAAAACAGAGCAAGATTATCTGACTCAGGCTCTTGCAGCTTCAACTAATTTTAAATTATTGTAAAATATTACTTTTAAATTTTTAGATTCACGATATAATCTCGCATTGTTTATTATAGGTTGTCTGCCGTGGGATTCGATGAAAATAATTTTTCTTATATTATAATTGATGAGGCAAGTCAAACAATTGAACCTGAAATGTTAATACCTTTTGCAATAGCGAGTTCCGGCATCTTGTGTGATTTTTATCCACAAGTTGTTATTGCTGGTGATCCTCATCAATTAGGACCTGTCGTTCGTAGCAAAAGATCTGAACATCTTCTTGGTAAGTTTTTTCTATAGTATCTATAATATCTTTTAATATTGTATGTGTGCGTGTATATGCTATAATTTTTTCATTGTTTAATATGCTAACAGGAATATCTATGCTGGAACGGTTAATGACCACTTGCGAACCATATAAAAAACAGAATGGGATTTACAATCCGAATTATATAACAAAATTGATTAAAAATTATCGCAGTCATGAAAAACTTATACACATATCAAATCAATTATTTTATGACGGTGATCTTATAGCCTGCGGAGGAACCGATACACAAATCGCGTTAAACTGGCCGAAACTACCCAATAAAAATTTTCCAATGATATTCCAAGAAGTTCGAGGTGGAGAAGAGAGAACTTCAGCCAAAAGGTCAGTAAATTTAAATATTAAATCGCATTTTAATATTCACGCGGTAAATTAAATCCTTCTATATTTAACAATTATCTATGAGATCATGATTGAATACAAGCGCAATTTGCTTGCAGTGTCTACAATGTTGCCGAAGCACTAGTAGTGGTGCATTATGTCAGCATGCTGCTGAAGACAAAGTTCCCGAATTACAAAATCACGGCGAAGGATATCGGTGTGATAACACCTTTTAAACGGCAGCAGCTAGACATCACTCGGCAATTGGTAGCGAGACGCTTGGAAGACGTGACTGTGGGAACAGTGGAGATATTCCAAGGGCAAGAAAAACCTGTCATAATATTGTCCACGGTGCGATCGAAAACTTTCAAGCACAACGGCAGAGAGCACATCGGTTTTTTATCCAATCCGAAGGTACGTAATTCGTTACTTATTTAATGGCCTAGTTTACACCGATTGTTTAGTACGCGTACCAAATACTAAATCTGCTTTTCCGATAGGTATAAATCGTTTAGTGTAAAATCTACAATCAAAGAAGCTGATTTAGTACTTGGTACGCGTACTAAACAATCGGTGTAAACTAAGCCAATGATTGTCATGATTAGGAAGCGGATGTTCGTGCACGATCCCGTATCGCGCGCAGAGAACCGCTGCGTGCGAGTGAGTCGAGTATACACATTATACACGATAGATATATTGAATTCAGATGAATTGACAATCGGGTTTTCTCGAGAAATGCTACCTCAGCGAGTACTCGACTCACTCGCACGCAGCGGTTCTCTGCGCGCGATACGGGATCGTGCACAAACATCCGCTCCCTAGTCATGATTTAAATCATTCTCATGATAATGGCTTAGTTTACACTGATTGTTTAGTACGCGTACCAAATACTAAATCTGCTTCTTCGATAGGTATAAATCATTTAGTGTAAAATCTACATTAATCAAAGAAGAAGATTTAGTACTTGGTGCGCGTACCAAACAATCAGTGTAAACTAAGCCAATATTCATGCACACTAATATTCCAATTGTACAAATTAATGTCGTTTAATTGTAACGATCTTTTTTTCTTTTCTTTTCAGAGATTTAACGTCGCTCTAACACGTGCCAAAGCGCTTACAATAGTAATAGGCGACCCAAATGTTCTCTGCAAGAGTAAATGTTGGAAGTTACTTTGGGAGTACTGTAAAAACCAAGGGGGATATATTCCATTCGAGCAATGCCCATTGAAGCCGGACATGATAGAGAAGTTAAGGACCAATAAAATCAATCATAATCCGGCGAAGAAACTATCCATCATTGTACAATACAACAAGGAACAGAATAAATTATCCGACGTGCTAGTGCGTCAAATGAATAACATAACTTTGTAACATAGACATCCCTGCTTAAAATAATAGATAGGAGATGAATGGATTTCATTACTATAACATAGAATCTTTATGTTGATTGATACGACGAGTTTTTAACCAATGTCACAATACATACACTTCCAATATAGTTTAATGATATTTTATAATATTATTTCTTTTAATACTATTGAATATGAAAATTTGTATATCAGTTAATATTCTTTTATATGTAAAGAAGTTTTGTCATTTATTTATGATTATTCTATAATAAACTGCTTATGATATTTTTTCATAAAAACTTGAGCTAAAGCTATTTCATAATAATCTATAGAAAGTTTAATCATAATCTATATTTTAAAATCTTTAGAAAATTTTAATTCTCAATAAATCAAATTTAATGTAAAGTTACTTTTCCATTTTGATGCCTCTGTTTCATGTAATATTGTTAATAATATTTAGTCATAAAAATATACTGTGCGATATACACTTTGTATCATAATGTATATTTTTAAAATTGTATTCTGATTATAAGTTACATGATGCATTATTTATTTTAATACTTCCGATTTTAATATTTTCTTATAATAAACAATTTATAATATTCTATAATAAAAAAACTTGTTTAAATCTCATCATATTGAATTAATATATTTAATTATATAGAAATCATCTATATGTAACACTCTGATATCATGTAAGTATTAAAAAAGCATATTTAACATGTAAATAATTTTATGTTACTTTACATACTAATATGGGACTCTATGTTACTTTATATACATGTGTATATGTGATTCTATGTTACCTTATATATGTGCGTGTATGTGATTCTATGTGACTTTACATATGTTTATATGTAATTCTATGTTATTTTACATACGTGTGTATATGTGATTCTGTGTTACTTTATATATGTGCGTGTATGTGATTCTATATTACTTTATATATGTGTGTGTATGTGAGTCTATATTACTTTATAAACGTGTTTGTATGTGATTCTATATATGTGTGTATGTGATTCTATATTACTTTATAAACGCGTTTATATGTAATTCTATATATGTGTGTATGTGATATTATATTACTTTACATATCTGTGTATGTAACTCTATGTTACTTTATATATGTATATATGTAATTTTTATATTTACCTTTTATTACATGTGTGTGTATGTGATTCTATATTACTTTATATATTGTGTATATAT